GAAATCCTTCCGATTTTCTTTTTAAAAATGCAATTAAATGGACGTACTTACTAATATCAGTATTTTTCTTCACTGATATAACTGAATGTAACATGAAATCTGTCGTTATAACCAAAGTGATGAAGCCTTCCTATGTTTTGAAAGATGTTCAAAATATGCCAGGAAAACCTTTTTGTTACTACTATTCTTGATTCCTTTCCCTTTACACCAATCTTCAAGTTTTACATAGGCTTGCTCGTACGTTTGTCTTGATTTTTCGGGAAGTAGGGAATCGATAACGTTTTGCGCAATGCCTTCAATATCCGAAGGGATACTTTCAGAATCAGAATCACCCATATTAATATAATTTTTTGCTTTTTTTCTAAAACTGAACGCTTAACACAAAATTGAACATCAATAATTGAGTTGTCAAAGTCAAAATGGAAAAATCAACAAGCACGGTTACCACGGCGTCGACTAATATGGACACCTGATAATTTTGAATCTTAATTTTTATGAGGATATCTCTGATATTTTAAATTAAATGAAATCTCTTTGAATCGTCCCTCGTATCGCATCGTAGATTAAATTTTGAATGATACACGTTCAATACGAACTTTTTAATGAAACTTGTGTAACTACTACTGTTAACGTTACACGCGTTTCATTATGATGTTCGTATCGAACTTGTATGATTAATAACAATAATGGGTTTCCTTAGGTTAGGTGCTCACATGCAAGGTTTTTGATTTTTTTAATGGTCCCTACACAAAGTTAAAAAAATCCTTTGTCAAAGATCATCAGGTGTTAAAAATATCTGTCTTTGAAAAGAAAACTGCAGGTTTTTAATCCCTCAGTACCTAAATTGTATGCATTTTATCCAGGGCGGGTCTTAAATTAGTGCAAATATTTTCAGAGGTGAGAGATCTCGATAAAAGAAATATACTTTTTCTTTATCATTTTTCAAATAAGTCCAAAATTACTGAGTTATTTTACTTTGAAAATTTCCAAAAATAAAATATTTTTTTTGTGCTTAAATTTTGAAAACACTGGACCTTTTTGAAGAAATTATATTTTTTAACTGAAAAACTTCCTATTAACAAAAAACACTCAGAGGCAAAAAAGCAGACATATTTTTTTTTCGTCAAATTTAAAATGTTATATATTTTTTCTTTTTAGCTCCATTTTCATAATTTTTTAGGAAACTGTATTTAAATATATCTACTTTAATTTCTAAGTTCAGTTTTTTTATACATTTTAGAATGTGTCTTATTATACAGTGTTAATCGAAGGATTGCTTTTTTACCTTACATTTAAAACACTCAGTATAATAACTTCCTGAGTAAATTTTTCTAAAACATAATTTTTCTGTCAGAGCCAAGTCTTCTGAGCATTTTGTTTTTTGGCACATGTCTACAAATGTTCTGGGAAATTTTTAACAGCGAAATGATCTTTACTTCTTGATGTTATTTTTTAAAATGGCGAGGTGGTTTAGTTGACTAATTAGTCTAAGAGCTAGCAGCGTTTTTGAGAAAGTATTTTAAGACGTCTGACTCTTTGATATATCTTTTACTATGCTCTCTGGAACAGCATGCGGCCCGTCTGGCTGCCGATACCCGTTGCGTTCACTACTGCGCATCGAAAGAATATACTATATTTTTTATTAATTTAGTCCTATAAATTCTAGTATTGAATATAAATCGAACATGTCTCCATAGCGCAGTGCGTAGAGTTTCCGACCACGAACCGATGATTCAGAGTTCGAATCCGTGTCAGGTCAAAGACTTTTTTATTTTATTTTCGTTTATATTCTGATAGTAAAGTATTAAATAATTCTGGTAATTAAAAAAAAAACAAATATTTAATACTTTGCTATCAGAATATAAACGAAAATAAAATAAAAAAGTCTTTGCCCTGACCCAGATTCGAACTCTGAATCATCGGTTCATGGTCGGAAACTCTACGCACTGAGCTATGGAGACATGTTCGATTAATATTTAATACTAGAATTTAACGGACTAATAAAAATATAGGATCTTCTTTCAATGCGCAGTAGAGAACGCAACGTTTACCGGCAGCCAGACGGGCCGCATGCTGTTCTAGAGAGCATAGTAAAAGATATATCAAAGAGCCAGACGTCTTAAAATACTTGTTTTTCCGACGTTGCTAGCTCTCGTACTAAATGTTGTAATGCCATATCGAAAGTTTATATATGGAAATTTGTTTGGATTGAAATTGGACTGTTAATATAAAATTATGTCTTCTACTTTTTCCGAATCTAATGCAATATCGAAACTGTCGTTACTATAAACGTCACATAAATTCCCAAAGACGGATTTTCAATAAAAATTTAAATCATTTAGGGAATACTTTCAAATCTGCCATTAAAATGTCCCACCCGGCCATATATAACTCGGAACTAAATTATATTTTACCGTGGCGGTAATAAAATTCCCATTTTCTGTTACCTATTACGTCTTCTATAAAGGAAAAACCGGACGTGAAATATGGTCACTGCAGCTAGCGGCGGCGGTGGTGCCACGGCGCACCGAAAATCGAAAACAAGCCGATGAAAATTTATTACGGAAAATAATTTATAGAAGAGGCTCTGCCGGATTCGATCTGAGTTATTTGTTTCCGTAAATCTTGATGGAGGTCTATACGAAAAGGAAAACCTACTAAAATTTCCTTAATTACAATCCAAAACCGGGGATATATCTGGGAAATATTACCATTCGTTAGCCAGCTCTAACTTGAACAGTGTAGCATTTTATTTAAAATTCACATAATTAATATAAATGTACAGAATTATTTTATTTAAATAATTCAAGTTTAAATCCTCGCACCGAGGTGAGATTCTAAGTATTGTTATTATCTTTTATTTTTTCTACAAGTTTATTTCTGGCTAGTTATTTCAGTCCGTTCGAAGTTGTTCGTCACTTTATATCTGACGGTGTATAGTCATACCTCGTGCCTACCTTCCCTCGTCATATTGGTGGTTAAAGGCTGAACCTGATAAAGCTATCGGCGTTTGTTGGCACTTTGCTAATTTGTTTGGGAAAACCCTCTGAGCAGAGGTAAGACTCTTATTTTAAACATAACGTTGAGTAACGTTTCCTAATACCTTTCTTTTCTTTGTATAGAGTTTTATTTTAAGGCATTTTATGGTGGCTTTATTTTCTGGTGTCATTTTGAGTAAAGTTTCCTAATACCTTTCTTTTCTTTGTATAGAGTTTTATTTTAAGGCATTTTATGGTGGATTTATTTTCTGGTGTCATTTTGTTTTTTTGCACCTCGCAAAATTAGGTCCATGTTTGTCCCTACATTTTACATCAGGAATAACGGAGGAATCTCCTGAGTGTTGATTTCTCAGTTTTCAAATTAGAAGTTTTCGAAAGTAAATGGAAAACTGAGTGGCGCCCAGTATCTTATAAAGACGTAAGTATCACAATTTAATTTTCACTAGCTTACGACCCATTGCTCACCGGCGATCAGCTCCGTCGCATAGTGTTAGTTGTTTTAATATTTTTTTCCAAAAGAAAATTCTTATAAAAAAACATTCCATCTCTTTTTTATAACTTCTAATGCTACAACAGACCTGACGAATGTTAAACAGCCTCTACACTGTCCCCTAGTTTCGTGAAACATTTCGCAAAACATTTTTGGAAATACTTCCAGAAGTAAACTCAAATATAAGCCTGTGTTATAAAAATTAGTTCCCACGTTTCCTGGAGTGTAATGTAATACCACTATATTAAACTGATAAGAAAAATCAAAAATAGTGTATTTAAAACAAAGTTACCGATGGTAGATTAAGGGTGTATTCCGTTGCTTACCTTGGTTATGGTTTTATGTTCCGTTTCAATCGGTTTCCTGAAAGTTTTCTTATTACGGAACACGGTTCCTGAAAAATTCGGTTATAACTGTCACCAAACTAACCAGCGCAAGAAGGCTGGTTTTTCTGGTTTTGTTTGTCAATCAATGTCATTTATGTGAAACCAAGTAAATATTGGAAGTTCGAGTGAAATTCTCATTTAATTTCTAAAATTTGTAATAAAATTAAAGTCAGTAACATTTAAAGAAAACATGAAAAACAAGACAACAAGTAATCGTGAATGTTTTGGAAGTTATAAAAATATAAATATTGATTTGATTTGTTTATTTATTATTGATATGTTTTTATATTGGACCTACAAATCTTCACTTGAGCTGTCTAACAGTTTAACAGTTTATTAATAAAATACTTTTCAATATTAAACTCCATTGAAAAGAAGAAGCAAACGTAAAAGCTGAGAACAAGTACATTAAAAATGTATAAAAGATAAATTTTATAGTAGAGGTATTGAAATTTAGAAAACGTCAACATTTGACGTTTCCAGTATTTTACCAAACCATTCCGTATCAAACCGATGTTTTTCAGGAACCGCTCTTTACCGTAATTTACCGGTCTGGTTCGCCTGGTTTTGCAACGGAATACAGCCTAAATTGGCTATTCCTCTAAGGTTACAAAAGAATTTATAAAAATGTTTTAATCATTTTCTAACATTTTTAATTACAATAGAGTAAAAAAAATATATCTCCAAAACTTAAAATCGTAAGTATAATCAGTAGAATTTTTATTACGAGTTTTTGGTTTAAATAAATATTGTTGTTATACTTTAAGCTTAAAAATGTTCACTAGCAAACCTTGCAGTCGAACATTGTTCTCTTTTAGTGCGAAGTGTACAAGATGCTTAATAGCCGTAAAAAACTCATCGCCACTTTATTAGTATACGGGAAAGTGGTAGAAATGGCTCTTTATATGCCTTAAGTGCTGTTAAGAAGGCGGGTTTTGTTGATGTAAATAATATAAAATAATAATCGCTTTTAAAACGTCCTTCGATGCCTAGTCGCCATTGGTTTCGTTCATTTCAGTCTCCGTCACGCAGATCCTTTGAGCTCTTCGCCTTCTTGACACCCTCCAACCAGTTTATCCTTGGTCTTCCCCGTTTCCTTCTTCTTTGTGGAAGCCATTTTAGTACCTTCTGAGGCAGTCGCGTATCGTCAATCCTTCTCACATGTCCATACCACTTCAGTTGGGCACTCTCTATTTCCTCTACTATAGTTTTCTGTCTACCCATTTTGTCCATGTTTCAGCCCCAAATAACAGCTTGCTTAAATAATTTGCTCTTGATTATCGCATGATAAATCCTTAGTTTTCTGTCTTTACCTATTTTGTTACTCCAGAGTATATTATTCAGACATTTTATTGCATTTCTGACCTTGATTATTCTCAAGCTTATTTCGTTGTTGTCTTTCCCGGATTTATCGAAAGTACCGCCTAGGTATTTGTATTCGTTACATGCTAGTATGTATTTATTATCCAGTTTTATTGCTGTTTGATTCAATCCAATGCAGAGATATTTAGTTCTTGTAATATTTATCTCCAGTCCGCACACATGGTATTCCTCTTTAAGTTTTCGTGTTATATATTCCAAGTCATCTTTGTCTCTTGCGCAAATAACCTGGTCGTCGGCGAATTGCAAAGTTTATAAGCAAGAATCTTCACTTATTGGTATGCCCATGCCTCTACACTTGCTTTTCTACTGCTTTGATCTGAACTATCAAAAACAGGAAATTTCCATCCTATCCAATAGTCAAGCAGCACTAAACGCGAATAACTCAGTAACCATCAATTCGAATTTAGTAAAAGAATGCCTAGAGAAGCGCAACAAATTAGGCAAAGAAAATAAAGTCCTCCTACTCCGGGTACCAAGGGATACCTGTTCACCAAGGGATAGAAGGCAATGAAAAATCAAATGATCTAGCTAGAAAAAGAGCGAACAGTCCACTAACTGGACCAGAACCGTTCTGTTTTCCAAACGGGAACCAACTGAAAGCGGAACTGAATAATTTGGAAGACTCCATCCGTAACTTAAAATGGGTGTCCTCCAACGGTCTAAGACACTCGAAAAAGTTCCTCAGAACTTAAGACCGAGAGAAATTAAAGGTTTTTATTTAACTCAAGGGAGTTAAGTAAAAATATTCTTCGGATTGTCACGGGGTTTCTAACAGGACACTGTCTCCTCAACGAACACCTCAGTAGGCTGAAGCTGAGACACAACGGCGAATGCAGATTCTGTGGGGAAAATGGGGATACACCAGAACACATTATCACTAAGTGCACCGAGACGACGACCATTCGTGCCATGAACTTTGGTACGGCTGATGTCGAGGATGAAGAGTTGGCCTCTGTGGAACCGTCTCAGATACTGGCTTCTCTTAAAGCCCTCAGACTGTATGATGAGTTATAACTCGTTATAAATCAAGAAAGGGGAACACACAATATAGATCTGTAAGCTCGCGGTGATTAACTCCCCTCCTAAACATTCTACATACTACCCCCATCGCGCGAAAAGAAGTTTTACTTCAAAAATGTGTAAAAGTGGGCATCGCTGTGCCGGTCTAGCTTAATCACGTGACTAAAAGTTTATTTGATATGAACAGTAGGTACGTTATAATTGTCTTAAGCTTGGCATCCATCTCATTCAAAATCAAAAACACGTCGATGAAAATTTATAGTCTCTAATCTAGATTATTTTCCGTCGTAAATCTCGATGGCTTTGCCCCAGAAACAAAAAAAAGCAGCCAGGCGACGATCGCGAATGCCGAAAAAGTTTTTGTTTATGATAGTAGTCGTCGCGTCGATAAAAAACAAATTGGACGTCGAAGATTATTTGAGAAGGAGTGGAAAACGGCTTTATTTTTCTTCTCTCCTAGCGCACTGCTATCTCCAACTTTCCTAAGTGGAAGATTATGGAAAGAATATGGGGCGTGAAAAAGATGGACGGCCGAATCGCGATTCTTAAGTTTGTTTGGTTAGATTGAATGGATGGTGATATATTACAAGGCTAACTTGAATAAGATAACTGTGACAGTTATACAAAAAGTGTTCATTTTTTAATTCTCCATCTAGCAAATAAATAATATATAGGATGTTCCAATCAAAAAAACAAAGAAAAACTATCTTATATTTTTAAAATTTTGGCATAGAATTTTGAACACCCTGTCTGGTTTAAGATTACGATATTTGGAGCAGAATAAGTATAGACCTACTACAGTAAATACCTAATACAGTTTTCATTTCAAGACATTTCTTGTATTTTTAATAATTTTTTAAAAAAAAGCTGAAAAAATATTTTCTTATTTACTTATTAATATCTTTGAAAGCATCAAAGCATATTTAATAAAATCTTAGAATTATATAAAGTGATCAAAAAGAAAGCCAAAAATGCAATAATATAGAGGGTGTTCCATTTAAAAAAAATCATCCCGATCCACTCACACTTTTTTCAGCCACCCTGTAGAAGTTAAAATATTTTCCTGAAGTACATTCTAATACATACTTTAGGTTCGCACTTAAACAAAATTTCTAACTTTTTTATTGCAAGAACTACAGATGCTGGACGTACTATTGCCGGACCCTGTAAATTCTTCGTTTGTATCAATTTGCATTTGGTATAACAAAAATAGTCTATAAAATTTCACTCATTTTAAGTAATTGAAGTCAAACTGAGTAAAATAATTGGTTAAGGTTTAGTATGCATTGAAAATAGACATTGAAATATAGTTGAAGCTTTAGTGTGCAATGAAACTGTGTAGTGTTTATCCTAGACAGTTATTCTAATCGTAATCGACATCATAGGTTCCTTATTCAAAAATTTGCATTTGATTGTTTCTATGGTAATATAATTTCGATTTCATTCTTTGATAGAGCGTTATAATTAATTTTGATTAATGTCATATTTTTTAATGTTGTTAAAGTTTATTATCCCTCTTTCCGTAGCATTGAACTAAATAAATTTTGAGCTTCTTTAACATTTTAAAATAGCAAAAAATATCACATTAATTAAAATTCTGTCAATAATAATCTATCAAAGAATGAAAAAGATATTATATTACCATAGAGACGCGTTTGGATTTTTAGGAAATTCAACTACATTTTCATGTTTTTTTTAGTTCTCTCTAAAACGGTATAGAAGTTTGGAAAGGTATAAACGGGATTAACCGTTTTAGAACAAGCAAAAAATTATATGAAGCATGCATTTTTCTCAAAATGTCAATAATAAAAAAGTTTTTCCTTTTGTAAAGACAATCCGTGGGCATTCTGAAGATTGAAATTTAACATTTGATTTTTTTAAGCAAAAATGTCAAAAGTTGACATATGATATGTCATTCTATTCAGAGTGCCATTTTCTATCGAATAAAGTAAAAATATACCCACCGAGGATGCCATTTAAAAATCAAAAATTGTTCCATTTCCGCTGAAACAGGAAGTGACCAGAAATAATTGAATACCTACGACAATCAATCCTAATTTATGTCATATACTAACATACCAAATCTCGTTTTTTTAACTGAAAAAAATAAAAAAGTTATAAATAAGGGTGAGCTATTTTTGTGATGCACTTGGTAGGTATATTTATTTTTCTTGAAAAATTTTAAATTTAAATAACTATATGACATTAGATAAATATTTGATACAGAGAAGAACTATCATCACTTATTTTTACTTCTAAGAAGGTAGCTACTTAAACAAGTTAACATTTATTTAAAAGTTATATAGATATTTCTTCGGCAACAAGCATCCAAACCACAAACCACAAAAATCCTTATTTCTCTCCCAGATTGCTAAATTACTAAGCACGTAATTGGAACTTTTGTTAAGTGAGAGATTGCCAGAGGTATATGGAGTGTAAAAAGGGTTTTTCTGGCGCTATCATGATTAGGGCAAAAGTAATGTGGCCGCTTTTGGGGACCCCCACACTCCAAAACGCACGACAGTGACCTCTCGGAGTTATTTGGAGGAGAGAAAACCTGTTTTTTTCGTTATTTGTGAGGTTTCACAGACGGAAATGATTGATGTAGTCGAAAATACGATAAAAAAGTTGAAATCGTAGTTGATAAACATCCTTCTTTTTACAAAGAAAATCCGTAAAGATATTTTGGTCCCTAATGCTGAAAGTGTAATCTATTTTATTTTTTTTATTTCAAAAACACTGGAATTTTTTATATAGGGTGAATCTTAAATAAGTGCAAATATTTTTAAGGATAGTATATTTCGACACCAGAAGCACGTCAATGAAATTTTTGTAAAAGAAATATTTTGAAAATTTTAAAAAATTTTTGTAAATTTTGTTAGTTATACTATATCTTTAAAAATTATAATTCCTTGATAATATGGAAATATAGGTGGTAGATTCCATTTACAAGAGAGGAAACCCAGAAAAGAGGTCCACTGGTTCTCAAAATTTAACCAAAAAACATTTTTTTTTTATTTTCAAAGTAAAATAACTGGATTAGTTTGGACTTATTTGAAAAACGGTAAAGAGAAAATATGTTTCATATATCGAGATCTACCAGCGTTGAAAATATTTGCACTTATTTACGATCGAGTTTAAGACTCATCCTGTATAGCTGAGAAGCTGTACACCTACCTATACTCTACCTATTGACTAAATTGGAAACAAATAAGCAGGATTCTGTCCAAAATAGACAATTGTAAATATATAAAGGTCCAAAATAGACAATTGTAAATAAACACGTAATATATATTTCAAGGAGTGAGAAGTATTGTGCAGATCAGGTATCCAAGGTAAGTTTGGCTTCTTTTATTTATGTTGATTGAATATTAAATTGATGTTAACACCATTCATATATTATGCTATATAAATAAAAGAAAAATATTTTATTTTTTCTTTTTCGCTCTTACAATATATATATATATATATATATATGTTTCTTTTTTCAAAAAAAACTAAATATGGATGCAGAGTACCCCCTTTTTTTAATTTTAATTATACATTATAACAGACACATTCTTATAAGACGAACGATTATTCTCGTCAAAAATGAAAATATAAAATTTAAATAAGATTGTCTGAAAATTATGATATAGACATTTATTTGGTATTACAACGAAAGGCTTCCTTCTTGAAAAGTTATACAATTTATAATTACAATGAGAGAGATGTGTGAATGTTAACAGCTCTAACTAATTTTATTTCTTCTGAGTGGTGGTACTTCCTAGGTTGACGTTTGTGTGAGTATGCTTTTACTTTAAAGAACACAAGTTTAATTAAATTAAAAT